AAAACAAAAGCAACAAAAAATGATCTATTCAACTCACTATATACTGATCCTCCTTCCAACAATCCTCAAATACTAATTGATCCAGATCTTCGCAAATCACTAATTCAAAAACATACGTCAACAATATCACAATCAATAATTAATACTCTTCCCAAATATAACAACACACCACTCGAAGTTCTCCTAACATACCAATATCAATCAATATAACAACAGTAACTTGAAACTTCATCCAACACCACAAATCCTTCACAACCAGTTTCAATTACAACTCTCTTCTCTCACTTCTGTACACAATAATAATCATTCTCCTTTTCAACGAGTCCAGAGACTATATTTTCTTCTCCAAACATCCAAAACTAAACAACAACATTTTTGCTCCACTGCTTACCAATCATAGAAAAAGGTGCAAAGTTTTATACTTCAATACAATTACAAATATATACAACATTCTTCAAACTCTTCGGATTTCTCACACCTTCTATAAACCCACCTCTATCACATCAAAAACACAATCACTAAACACTCAACTTTCACAAATCAACATAATCGATCCATTACCAATGCAATATACACTTAAAAACCTAAACAATATTCCTATTCTACCAATAAGATACTTCCTTAAACAAATTAACAAAACCATATAATCCACAAAAATAATTTTTTCACAAAGAGCACAATAAACTTTCAAATCAAACTTCTTACTATTTCTCAACACTCTGACCTTCCTAAAAAACACACCAATCCCAACTACACAACACCAATCTAGAATATATAACTTCTGCCTTAAAATCCTATCTAATACACTTTCAACTAAATCATATCTCCATATCACTCTACCTAATATCTATACAAATGATATCTGTCCTTACTGCAACTCGTACACAGAAACTACTTATCATCTCTGGCTTTGCAAACAGGCACTACCAACAATTAAAAAAATCCTTACTGACTCACAAACACTTCTTAACAAAAAATTCAAAAATAACAAAAACTTTAATCCCAATCAAATTTCAACTATTATTAACTTTGCAATCCATCTAATTGACTTTGCAACAAGTACATTTCAACCTAAACACCTATTTAACAATCTCAAACCAAACCAGTAAGATCTCAAAATCCTAAATCAAATCCAAAATGAAACTCTCGAACTCATATATCAACACATCTGGATTCCAAGAAACAAAAACATGATCGAAGAGGAAAAATTTCTCGACATCTCACAAAACACCAAATACAGGAAAAATAACAAAAACAACAACAAAAAATCTCTACAACATTGACAAAAACCAACTACCAATTCTACATCTAATCATTAATCAGCTCAACAAATCGAACTAACCAATATAACACTTAAACTTTTTTCTCAAAACTCGTCCATGTCTTTTCAAGACAAAATAAATTATTAAGGAGGCATTAGCTTTCCAAAATTAAATAGTTACTTTCTTTTTCCTTGCTCAAAGGTTTTTTATCAGAAATATATCTAATATGATGGTAGGCTGACATGTATAGCAATGTATCTCAACATCTCAATATTAATTATGTAATAACTTTACTTTATTAATAAAGATCGTGAAAAATATCTCACTTAATAGTATAAAAAAAAGAAATGATGTTTATCTACTAGGAAAACCTCCCTCCAAAAAAAATAAAAAAATAATATTTATTTATAGAAAAAATTGTTTTAAAAAAAATTAAATTAAATTAATAAAATATATATATGTTTAAAATTGTAATAATAAAAAATCTTAATAAATAATAGTTAATTTCAATTTTTATATTATATAATTTTATTTATATTAATAAAATTTTTAAAAAATTTTAAAGTTAAAAAAAAATCTTTTTACAAATATCTTCATTTATAAAAAATTGCTTTTTTAGTAAGCTTTTCCTTTTTTAAAAACTTGAAAAAAAAATATAAATCAAAGGACTAATTTTGAATAATAGAATTTTAAAATTCAAATTGACACTTGGAATTTTAATAATGGCTTGTTTTAAAAAATCTAGTAACTAGAAATTATATTAAGCAATAACTTAAAATAAAGAAAATAAATAAAAGAAATTTCTTTATATAAAGGTTATTTCCTTATATAAACTATATAAAACAATTATAACTATTATTTTTAAATCAAAAACATATAATTCTTAAAAGATATTATTTTATTTTTTTAAAGTTTTTTTATTTTCTGTTAATAATAACTAATATCAGATTAATATTATAATCTTTTGATTAATTTTTAATCCTTATTATTTTTACATTTATAAAACTAAAACTATTAAAAAATTTATAATATACAAAACACCAATTATATTCTGTATCATTTAAATATATCAAAATAACACAACAACTTATCAGATTAAAAAAGCATATAATTAGTACCTTGCACAGGTTCCAGTATCTCCAATAACAAATTAAACTATTATTATAACAATATAAAATACTTCTTATTTCTTATAAACTCAAAATAACACCTATCAATCAAAATTATTACATTACCCACAACAACATCACCAATTGTATATGGCTTATATAATGTTATTATCTAACTATATCATATAAACATATCTAAAAGCTATATATAATAATCTTATTATCAAGAAGTTATATTCATTTTCTTATAAATTGCATGATCTGTCATGTAACTATCTAGACAATATATTAGTTTTAAACTTTTTTTTTCTAATATAGTTTAGATAGATAGTTTGATAAATTAACATTTAACTTATGTAATTTGAGAGATATAGAGTTTTGTCAATTGTATATTTTTTATATATTATAATAAAGAACCGATATTTATAAAAAAAAGTATTATTCCTAGTTTCTCTCTTTCTTGTCCCCTTTTATTCTCCAAAAAATCCAAATAAAACCACCCAATAATCTAAAAGAAAAACAATATATTAATGGAGTTCAAGTACATTAGTCTCTTAATCAAGAGACAAGTTATATAAGATAAAATTATAAATTCATCAAATGGTTTATTAGTAAGTTTAGACAGGTTTACACATATAGAAACATAGTATTCAAAATAGCTTTGTAATACTTAAAGTAATATGTACTGTTCTAAGAAATCTAATAAAGTAAGCTTCGAAAAAAAATATATACAGTATATATACATTTCAAATTATGGTCGGCGATCCCTCTACACATTTTGTGCGACAAAGAATTAAGTCGAGGAGCATTTCGATCTTCCGATTTATTTAAGAAGGGTTATACGGTATAATCCTTAGTTCGTTTTTCAAACAATGTTTATAGAAAAATCGGATAAATCCAATGACATCAAAGAATATTGGGTTTTCGGCTATGGTTCTCTGATCTGGAAGCCGCCTCCAGTATATGAAGAACGGTAAATAATCAATTCGCGAATGATTACCTAATTTTGACATTATTCGGTTTTAAGACGTTGTCGTCATTAATGTCACGTAACGTACGAAAATTACTAGAATCTCCGGGTTTATAAAAGGTTACGTTCGGAGATTTTGGCAGGTTTGTGCCTTTATGTGTACACCAGAAATGTCAAAGACTAAAAAAATTTTGGGTGTATTTCTATGAAACATTAGGGTAGCGTGGATCATCGTGGTACTGAAGAAAATCCAGGACGTGTTGTCACACTGATCCCAATTGAAGAATGGAAGTTAGTAAATGATTATGTAGGTTGAAGCTTTTGGACGTGTAAATGCGTATTAATATGAAACATGATCATTTATGCAATAGCATGATCACGAAGATGGCATAACATGGGGTGTTGCATATAGGATTCATGAAAAAGATGTAGAAGATATTAAAAAATATTTAGATTATCGCGAAAAGGTTTGCATTTATTTTTAGAAATAACTATAATCTAGTTGGCAACAACTTACTCAATTGAAATCTTGTCAGAATGGGTATACAATTCATTATTTAGATGTATTCCAGTCAGGACATGATGAACCAGTCGTCAAGAATGTAAGTCACTCACAATGTATGGCAATAAATTAATAAGAATCTTTCTTTAATGTTTTCATTTATGAAGGCCATAGTGTATATTGCTACCACTGAGAATGAATCGTATATTGGACCAGCCCCTTTAGATGTTATAGCTCAACAAATATTTCGATCCGTTGGTGAGTTTGCTTGGTTTGCGTGATTAACCCTTGGATCGGGTATCTAATTGAGTACACTTTACAGGACCAAGTGGACCTAACAAAGAATATCTACTAAACCTCACCTCGGCCCTTCGTTTTGTCGCTCCTGATGCATATGATGGTCATCTATTCGATCTTGAAAAGAGAGTTTTAGAACTAGAAAGTTAAAAATCGGATTCGTAAGAATTTAGTACGAAATTGTTGAAAACTTCCTAGACAATTTTTACGTACATACTATATAAGTAGAAGTATACTTAATATACATTAAAGTATATTTATAGATAAATTATAAAGTGAGCCATTTGATTGTTAGATATTTAAAAAATATGAAGGGCAACTAATATATTTTTAATCTTCAAAACATATTAAAAATCGTTTTAATTATTTATCAATTTCGCTATTTTTTTTTAAAGACAAATAACAGGTTGTAATTAATATTATAATTTATAAAAGCAAAAAATAAGTATTCTATTTATATGCTTAAAATACAAAAATTTTAATTAATTAATAATAATAATAATAATAATAAGCAAAATAAATAGTAACTATAATGTATAACCAAGATTCTTTTTAATAATTCTTTTGATTATTTATATTAAATAGAATCAAAGTTTTTGTTTATCACTTTTTTTGTTATTTTTTGAAATTTTTTTTTATTTTTGGTCAAAACAAATGGATTTAAAAACAAAATTTATCAAAAGTTAATTAATTATAAAATATTATTATTTGTAATTTTAAATTTCAAGTTTTTTTTTAGAAAATTCTAATAAAACAAGAAATTAAGATCTTGTTAAATTTGTTTTTTCTTTTTTTCTTATAGTTTTAATATATAATAAATGCAATATTAATATTAGTTATATTGAATAAAAACAAATTCTCCTTTTTAAAGATAAAAAATTATTTTTGTTAATATTGATATAATAAATCTATAAATTAAATAAAAAAATAATGTTTACCTATTAAAAAACAAAAAATCTTTTAATTAAATAAAGAAATAATGTTTACCTATTAAAAAACAAAAAATCTTTTAATTAAAATTATATTTATTTATTATATAAAAAATTATTTTTAAATATTTATATTAGTTATTAAAAAATTAATCTATAGGTCTATAGCTCAATAGTAAAGTTCTATAAGTTATCAAGTAAAGATTTAAGATTCAAATCCATCTGATTACAAAAAAGTTATCATATATCTTTTTTAATTAGATTGTATGAAAATAAGATTTTTGGTCTTTTTAGTAATCACAAAATTATAACAAATTACAAAAAAGAAAAGAATTACTTAAAAAAAGACTTTTGATCTAATTTTAATCAAATTTTATAAATTATAAAACAATAATAACAAAATTATAATAACAAAACTATATTTAGATATATAGATTGAACTATACTTTATGTTAATTAATTCCAATTATTATTTTTTTTAACTATTAATTATCCAAAATAAGAAATCTTAAAAAAAAAATTTATAAATCTATAATATAGTAATGATGTTCCATAGGTTATTAAGATAAGTTTTAGAATTCAAACCTATTTGATTATAAAAATTTATTATCTTTGTAATTAATTAACTGGCTTTCAATTTATATTATATCTAATTAATTAAAAATCAATTTTTAAATTTAATTAAACTATATAAAGATAAGATCTTTAGTCTTTCTAATAATCATAATCTTAAAATAGATCAAATCAAGAAAAGTTATATAAAGAAAAACTTCTAATCTAATCTTTATTACAAACTCATATCTTTCTTGATATAGTAGATTTTATAATAAGAATTATGTTAAAGTAATTAGGCAACTTTGAAGAAGATTACTATAAAAATATGAATATATAAATAAAGTCAATAGCAACTTTACAGGAGTTATATTTTGTTTGATATTTGTATCTCTAGATTTGATAACTTAAATTAACCAAGAGCCTATAGAATATTTGCTGAAAAATTTAGAAATTACATTTTATTTAATCTAATAGTTTCCAGATTTAGTAGTATATATCAACTATAAAAACAACTCTTAAATCATTTATTAAAAAGTATAAAGAAGTAAGACTATAAATATTGTAACTATATAAGTCAGAAATATAAATATGATAAGGAATTTAGTGACTATTAATATGTTAAAAATTAAGATTAGATCTTATTAAGTATAAATCAGGATATAAATATATTTATAAAGTATAAATTAATATTTTAATAAAAAGAGTAGATAGTATTAGTTAATATTAACATTATTTAATAGATTATTTATATATAAATATTTGTAATTTTTATTGATTCAATGAAATCTATATATGTATTATATTTTAATCTTTTTTTTAAAAAAAAAAACCTTAAAGAAGACCACTAATTAGTTATTATTTATAAAATAATATAATTAGCTATATTATTAAACAAAGTATATAAAAGCTGTATTTTGCTTAATATTTATACTTTTATATTTAACAATTTATATTAATTAATTTTAATCTGAAGTATTTATTAGAAAATTAAAAGTGTTAATTTATAAATAGTACTGAAATATGTTAAATCCTTAAGGAATTATATTTCCTTAATTATATGACTTTTAAATTTAATAATATATAATTAGTAATTAAAACTAAAATATTTACTAGAAAATATATATTTATATTAAAAATTTTCTTTTATTTGTATAAATTGATTAATATAGATAATTTGTAATAGGCAACTTATATATAGATAATTAACAATATAAGTTTTATAAAAAAATTAAACTTTATAGATTCATTAGTTTAAACTAATAATAGAATTTTTATTTCCTATAATCTTCTAGTATTACAAAAAAAGTCATTAAATAACAGGTTTCTAAATATCAAATATTTAAAGTTAATAAGCTAACATTTAATTATAGTTATATATTACAAAGTATAGTTGATATAATATATAAAAATTATTTATTATAAAAGATTTGAATCTAATATATTTAATTATTAAAAAAATTTTTTTGTTATTAAAAAAGTTTCTAAATTTAATAATAAAATTACAAAACTTAAAATGTCATAAATATTATACAATAGTTTATTTTTAAAAAAACAAAATCAAATTTAATTAATAATATTTTTTGAAGCATTAAAATAATATTCAAAGATCATATATTATATTTATTAAAGATTTTTGAATTATTTTAATATGAAAAATTTTAAGTTTTTAAAAGTTTTTGAAATATTTTTTTAAAGTGGAAATTTCCAAAAAAAGTTTAATCAAATTATTAGTTAATTTAAAAATTAAATTTGTTAAACAATAATTGTTATTTGATTATAAAAAATCTGCACTTAATTTCTGTTTAATTATAATAAGTTGCAATTAAATTACCATTTAATTATGCCATTTAATTATTATATTAAGATGATTTTTATAAATAAATATTATATAATTGCAATGATTTAATTATAAAATAGTTAACTGAATTAAAATAATTTTTTATGAATATTGAGAACAATTGGTAATAGTTTGATAAAGATTTAATTGTGAAATAAGTAAAAAATTAAATAAATTCGATAAAGTGTTTATAATATATTTTATAAGTAACTCAATTGATAAAAAAAAAAAATCCCCAATTATTGTATTTATTTTTTTAGAGTAAATTATTTTTGGGAAATTTTTTTTTCTATTTTGATTTTGAAACAATCTTAAAATTTTCAAATTTTTATTGTTTTTGATAATTATAATAATTATTATAATTTTATTTTTATACTAGGTAACGGGAAGCGTTGTAATGTTAGTTGGTCCATTACGCATCAAACTGTATGATGTTCTTCAGACAAATTGATTATAAATTAGTTACAATGTCAATGATCTTAGACGTACAAATATGTTTTTAAATTTAAAATAGTGTATATTATGATCACCTTTTCTTAATTGGTCAAACACATTTACAATATACACAGCGTTCGATATTATCTTCAAAAACCCAATGGTATAAAATGGATTTCCGATACTATTGTAATAAAATCTATTTTTTTACAATAAATAATTATGTGCTTATATAATGCACAGTACATTCTTTTAGGTAATACATTACATTAGACCGTCACCGTAAGGAAATAGTAATTGATTCTCAAGATTGCTTATTATTTGCATAACTGATAATCTTAAAATTATTTTAGAATTGTATAAAAAAAAGAGCGTAAGATATCATGATCCAGTTCGGAATCTTATAATTAATCAGGACCTGCCATAACACTTTCTGTATCATTCAATTCGTTCGAACGCCCTTGGTTTGAATAAATTTTTCTGAGGCATAGAGTCCTTGAAAGTATAAACAAGAGATAGCCCACTTCGAAAGGACTTGTTTATTTAGTATGATACAAGTTGGTAGATCACCATTAAGGTACTCATTTTTATCATCAAGATCAATCATGTAATTATTTAGTACTACCCAAAAAAAGGGGGAACCAATCGTTCTGAGTACCTCAAAAGTTATGTGTACCCTATCGGTGAAAAAGAAGCCCAAAAGAGTTATGTACCTCACTAGTTATGCAAACCGATAATCTTTACGGAATGTACAAAAGTACGCCGGTTGGTCTTTTTTTTCGCTGCATTTCGCCCCAATTATTATTTTGTTTTCTAACATTTGTGGTGCTTTAGGAATGTATATGTCGCGTAAACGCTATCTTAGTGTGCTTTTAGCATTTATTACGTTCTTTACGTGTTCCGTCTCGGCTTCGAAAGGTAAGAAGAAAGTACATAGTTTACAAATCATAATTCATATCAACTGAATACAATTCCACTTAGGAATATTGAAGATTCGTGCGGACTCTTCAAACGATAACGGCACAAATGACCAAGCCGCTAACTCGGTTAATAGCTGTAGTAGTTCTAGTGGTCTTGACGAAACTACTTATAACTTTAGATTTCACCTTGGAGCTTTGTTCATCATTCTGGCGACAAGTTCTATCGGTTAGTTTTTTTTCTTATTTATTATTTCTTAAAACGTATGACTTACGTATTTTAATTATCAAAATAATTAGGCGCGTTTCTGCCAGTCGTCTCGAAGAAGTACCCTATGTTTAGACTTCCTCGTGCATTTTTTTTTTGTATGTGATTTATTAATATATTTGTTTCTTTAAAAAAAAATCGTCTAAAGTTTCCTTTTTATATAAAAAGTTGCAAAGAACTTTGGCACCGGCGTAATTCTTGCTACCGCCTTTATTCATGTAAGATGTAGTCTATTTGTTCGCGCCCTAGGTTCTGTACAATTAATATTCATCACGTGATTGTCATATTAGATGCTTCCGTCAGCATTCGAAAGTTTAACAAATCCTTGTTTGTCGCCGGTATGGACTAACTACAATGCTTGGGCAGGTGCCATTGCAATGATGGCTGCATTGTTTGTTTTTTTCTTAGAATACTTTACTATAAAATTACAAACCACGAAAGATATGCTGCCCACCAATGCGATGCAAAATAATGAAATCACGTCTGTTTCGGAATTCAAACCGGAAACTGATAGTGTACACCACCACTCTCATGGAAACCTGATTTTTCTTACAGATGAGGCACAAATTCTGGGGATTGTGATCTTGGAAGCTGGTATTTGTTTCCACTCACTAATAATTGGAATGGCTTTGTCAGTTGAGGATGGATCGACTTTTGTATCGTTATTGATAGCTTTGATATTTCATCAGGTGCGCATTATATGATTAACACGAAATATTTTAATGATACAAGTATATCGAGCTGATTTTCTGTTTTGATTCTACGTTCTTATAATAGATGTTCGAAGGTTTAGGACTTGGTTCACGCATAGCCGAACTAGGGTATAATGAAGGAAGTTATAAGCCTTGGCTAATGTCGTTGGCATATGGAACTACTACTCCATTGGGTATTGCAATTGGTCTAATAATTCGCCGGACATATGATAAAGGATCCGAGACTGCTCTTATCGTTCAAGGAGTGCTCGATTCTATATCAGCCGGTATTCTATTGTATGCGGCGTTAGTGGAGTTGGTCGCAAATGATTTCATATACGATCCAAAATTTCGCCAGAGCAGTAACTCTAAGCAAGTTTCTGCTTTTATTTGCCTCATTGTAGGAGCTGGTGTTATGGCCTTGATCGGTATGTAAATTTTCCTAGTTTTCATTTGGTAGTTATAAATTTATTTGTAAAAGATTTATCTTCTTTTAATCCAATTTAGGGAATTGGGCCTAAACAACAAAGTATCTATCAATATGCATTTGCCTATGATACGTCAAATTGATCTAGTATTTGTTAAAACAACCCAGTGGAAGCTGGGTTAAACCCTGTAGTATAAATTAATTATTAATAAAAACTAAATAAATTGTAGAATAATGATGAAAAAATACGTCTTTATTAATAAACCATTTTTTAATTATATACAGTATGAGAAAATAACTTACAGCAATCTGATTACTGGTATTTTTATTAAATATGATAGTAACAAATAGTAAAGTTTATATGAACGTATATTATTTTTAATAGAATAAAAAATTTAAAATACAATATGTTAAATAATTTTTTTAAGTCAAATTAAATAGCCAAATTTCCTAACTATGACAACAATGACATACAGTATATAAATTCATGATTTTACAATTTCTTCTTTTTTGTAATCTAATAAACTGAAAAATAAAAATGTTTGATGTTTACTTTGAAAATTTCATTATTTTCTATATATAGTATATATACAGTGCATTGCAAAACTTTTTGAAAATTTTTTTTGAAATTTTTAATATTTGAATTAATAGTAAATTAAAAAATAAATATATTTTTATAAAAAAAATATAATATTATTGTAATTATTAATCAATTTTTATTTAAATTTACAAAGTTATAAAATTTTATATTTTATTTTTAATATTATAAAAAAAAAATTATTTTGAAAATAATTTTTACCATCATAACAAGTATTTCACTAAAGTAAAGAAGTATCATTAAAACCATAAGATAAATTATAAAGATATTTTTATAACTTATATTTTCAAACTTGTGATAATAATTCTATATACTTGTTTTTGTTATATCCCAAATTTTATGCAAATTTTCCAATTTTTATTAAAATTAATGGAAATTTAGAATCACAAATTGGAATATCTAATAATTAATAATAAATTAATAAAATATTTATAAAATATAAATTAATT